TTATATTTGAGAATTCATACTTATTTGTAAATTGTGAATTGTGGAAATTCAGTAGAAATTAAAAGACATTATGCACCTGCCTCATATCTCATCTCAATTAATTAATTAAGCTTCCATATTCCTTTCAAATTCTTAAAGCGATAATGTTTGGGAATGATGTTATCTTTCAGAAAATTATTTTATTCAAACAACAATTGATATTTCAATTTTGTTTATTATCGTATGGCCTAATTATTTCATTAAATGAACAGAGAAATATAGCAAACACAATCGGAAAATCCATTTGAAACTCACTTTTCTAAATTGGAACAACAGAAATGATCTTTGCATTATTAAGATAGTATTGAAGATATATACGTAGTGTGCTGTTGTGTGAAACATGCAGAAATAGAATGAAAGAACAAATTTGAATTAGAAAACAAATTAAATATGGTTGCAAAGAAAAACGGAGATTGGAGACCGTGCGGAGACTACCGTGTCCTTAACAGAATCACCCTCCCCGATCGATACCCCATCCCGCACATCCACGACTTCTCGTTACAATTGCATGGCAAGAGCATCTTCTCTAAGCTCGATCTGGTCTGCGCCTACCATCAGATTCCGATGGTCCCAGACGATATCGCAAAGACGGCCGTAATCACACCATTTGGTTTGTTCGAATACCTACGATGCCTTTTGGTTTACGCAATGCGGCTCAATCCTTTCAGCGATTCATGGACCAAGTCTTCCGTGGGTTAGGTTTCATCTTCGTATACATCGACGACGTGCTTATCGCCAGCTCCAACCCGGAGGAGCACAAACAGCATCTGCGACAAGCGTTCAACCGCCTGCAAGACTACGGAATCACGGTTAACCCAGAGAAGTGCAAATTCGGCCTGGACGAGATTGACTTCCTAGGCCACCACATTGACGCACGTGGGATCACCCCCTTGTCAGAGAAGACCCAAGCCATCTTGGAGTACCCTATGCCGCAATCCGTCCGCAGCCTCCGCCGTTTCCTGGGCGTCGTGAATTATTACGGTAGGTTCGTCCCCAATTGTGCTCAAGTACTCCAGCCTCTCACGGATTTGCTAAAAGGTAACCCAAAGCGTTTCCGGGTGACACCAGAGGCTGAATCCGCATTCAAGGAAGTGAAGCAGCTGCTATCCAAGGCGACTATCCTAAACCACCTCGACACCTCTGATGGGACACGTCTAATCCTGAAGACTGACGCTTCACAGGTGGCAGTCGGTGCAGTCCTGCAACAGGTGGTTAGGGGCGAAACTCAGCCACTCTCCTTCTTCTCCAGGAAGCTTACCGCTCCTGAGACCCGATATAGCACATTTGGCAGGGAACTTCTCGCAATCTACCTGGCGGTCAAGCACTTCCACCATATATTGGACGGTCGTCAGTTTACAATATTTACTGACCACAAGCCTCTGATTTATGCTTTTCGGACCAACTCAGACCATCACTCCCCAAGGGAAACCCGCCACTTGGATTTCGTCCTGCAATTTACAAACGATATTCGTCATATCGATGGCGCACGTAACGTGGTTGGAGATGCAATGTTCCGTATGGAGTTGCACCAAGTAGGGGTGTCCTCCCTCGATTTGCGAGCCCTGGCCACCGAACAAAAGTCGGGCCCTGATTTCAAGGAAATCATGTACAATCCTTCGTTACGCTTCGAACTTTTGCTACTACCGGACTCCGATACTCGGATCCATTGCGACGTTTCAACCGGCAAGCCGAGACCATTCGTCCCGCAAGCATACCGCCGGAAGATTTTCGACCATTTCCACGGTCTGTCGCATCCGAGCATTCGCTCCACAACTAAGCTTATCACCGACCGTTTCGTCTGGAAGAACATAAAACAGGATGTCCGCCATTGGGCCAAACATTGCCTCACATGTCAGGCCAGCAAGGTCCAAACGCATTCACGCAGCTCGCCCTTTGCTTTTCCTCTCCCTGAAGCCCGTTTCCGCCAAATTCACGTCGATATTGTGGGGCCTTTACCTCCTTCGAACTCTTACACTCACTTCTTAACCTGCATCGACCGTTTCACACGATGGCCAATCGCAGTACCCTTACACGGCACGTCTGCTACGTTGGTGGCGAAGGCACTGGTGGATTCGTGGATATCCATGTTCGGAGTCCCCGCCGTTATAACTACAGACAGAGGACCCCAATTCACTTCTNTACGACGGACCGTACAAGGTCCTACGGCGCGAACCAAAATTCTTCGTCCTCGACCGGAATGGTATCAAAGATTCCGTTAGCATTGACAGGTTGAAACCGGCTTATTTGGAAACTTCGACTACACCCACGTCGGATACACCTTCGGCCCCTATTACCCACCCAACTCCTTCTCACGTACCTGTTAATTCCCCAGACACTCCCGGTTTACAACCCGTTCCTCACCTTCCCCGACCCTATTTTACACGTTGTGGCCGTAGGGTTACTTTCCCCTCTCGACTTGTGGATTTTGTACATTAACCGAACCTAACGTTCCGAGGTTATCTCCTTTTCCACACATACCTGCTCCCGCTCCCGCCTTTCCAATGTTGTATATTGACTGTTTTCGAGCGTTTTCTTCCCTTTTCAGGCACTCGCAAACGCTCTAGGGGGGAGTTATGTGGGACACGTCATCGCTTAGTCAACATCACGTTCAAACTTCCGTACGGATCAGGTGCGGCGACCTCACTGACATTAACCAATCAGAGACGCCCATTTGTTTTACCGGATTCGTCATGTTGATAATGACTAAGTTCCTTCCTTCACACACTACTGACGTGCTACGTAGTAAATAAACGTATCCCTTCTCGCTCGCCTCCTTCCTTCCATAGCTTTGCAATAGCAGCTAGTTTGGGAGGCTCATCGATAGTAGAGATAACTGAGTACAGTCTAGGCTTATTGGTGTAGCAGTCTGCTACAGATTGGAGGACATTGAGGCTATTTTTACTTGGCCCTCTCTTTATGCTTAAAATCAAATTATCAATTTCATCATTAAATCGATTTTTTTCACCTTTTTTAACATGCGTAACCCTTTATAAGCAATTCATATCATTCGAATATAATGCAATACTTAAATGTGTTAAAGGTAAGGAAATAGTTTGAATATATCTCAGTCAAATTCGTATTTAGAGAGATAATATTTTTAAAACAAATAATATTTTAACTTTCGGTGATGAATTAATCCCTTCAATAAAACCAGTATATTGTTATTTGAAAAAAAACATCGGTTGATGTGGGAGTAAAATCTATGATGCAGCTAAAGTCAATGAGTACCAGTTTAAGAAAAACTGACTTTATAATTATTTATTTTTAATTATTCATTAAGGTATTTATTGCAAGTCATTATTCCAAATGTTTAATAATTAATACATTTCTCATGATCATAAAACATTTTAATGAGAAAATTAATATAAAAAGTTTTAATTGACTAATGATCAAAGATTTCATTGTAGAATTTGGCTAAAATGGTTTCATCTACACGAGAATTCGTCATGAATTTGCACTTGGAACGACGGTGTATCGACGAATGTGAAGCTTTGTCGTAAGGCATTGTGAATAAAGCTGACTGTCGCTTCATTCCCATTTCCTATCCAAACTTATCTTTCAGCTCATCTCACAACCAAAAACACTACCATCATATCAGATGTGACAGTTATACTGAACAAGGAAGTGGACAGTTTTGTGACCTACACATGGGGTAAAAATGTTTGATCCGTTAATTCATACAATGTTGCTAAGTCATTTTATGAAAAATCGAATCCTGAATGTGCAATTTGTAATCGATTTATGCTATACTCGGTGTACAAGCAGATCCTTTCAAACTTGACTTAGCAATGTCAAAACCGTTTTTGTTTTATGTTGATTGGAAATAACTTGTTATAAGAAAACATCGAATCATTCTTCATCGTTTGCATTACTATCCTTCATAACATGGTCGTCATTTCACGCAAAAGAACTCTTTGCTTTCCTTCTGAAATTGAACAACCCAAGTAGGTATTTATTCTTACTAATTACAAGACCATGGAGAAAAGGACAAAATAGCAATTCGCCCAAAAACATGAGCTTTAGAAAATGCGTTTTATTGTCTAAAAACAATGGTACATGAAAGCAACATACTTGGAATCATGACTTTCGATATATATTTGTAACATTTGAAAGCAAAACTATTAGTTTAATCCCTCACTAAACAATTGATGCCATGGGAGATGTCTGTAGCTTCAATGCCATAAACCCGAATAATGCGTCTCGCTTCAACTAGTATATTCCACACTTCAAAGAGTAGTCATCATTTTCAGTCCCCCTGCATTTAAATCACATCAACTTTATTTGGTCTCTTCAAAACAGACAATTGTCCTCATGGTAATGAGCAATAATCTTCTTACTACAAATGACACTAGCTTTTAATTATTCCTTCAAATTGTGCCACTAACAAAAAGAGATTTGATTGCAGTAATAGTTGAATCACTCTCCTGCTCATAAATGTGAAACGATTAATACTAATTTCAATTACGAAGGATAACAATAGTTTGAATGAAATTACCTATATCATTTCGAACAGCAACAATTTAGTTTTGGTTTGAGAAATAAGTGATGTCTTATGATTATAGTAAAGTTTCAATTGTTTTGATAGTACGAGCAACCAATCCGCAGGCTTGAGTGCAACAAACTTTGAATTTCTCAATAATTGGAGGATTTCGAATTATGTAAATACTCTCATAATTTCATTATTGTTTGCGATAAATGAGGAGGTATTAACCTTTTCCACTGAAAATCCTGCGCCTTTTACCGCTGTGCTCAACCAATGAGATTCAGTCCAAGTACCACATGTAGATATATATATATATGCTCCAATAATTTAACAATCATTTAAAGTGCTATGGAAATGCTGGTAATTCCACTGTTATTGATAGTCTACGACTTTTATGGAGGTAAGTTGTTCTGCTTCCCATCACTCTGATCTATTTGATCAGAATCAAAGTATTATAATGATATTAAAGACATTTGTAATGTTTGCTCTCTTTACCTTAGATGCTGAAGGCCAAGAAGTTTATGGATCAAGAGTTGTCACTACTAATAGGGGTCAAGTAGGACCCCTGAAGTTTGCAATGTCAGCACCTCCAGTGAGTTACCATCATTAATCATGAAGGATATCTTCCATTTTATTCTTTTTTAATGAGCGAAAAGGACAATTGTAACTTTGTCTCCTAATACTGAAATTTCTTAATTTGCGTTTTATTAGGAGGGGATAGTTCGTTATAAGAAAGGCGATTGGGATGAATTATTCATAGATTGGCTTGATGATTGTCTTATCAGGGACGAAATTGTTGGTAGACCATGCAACTTTGACAAAGGTACGTCTTTTTTTCATTTTCCTATGTCTCACAACACTTGGCTTGCAAATTTGAAATAAAATACAGTGCTGAGATTGGGAAAGTTTGAAAAAAATTGACTCGTTTCATTAAAATTGCGTTTTGAAGGTTCCGTCGAGAGAGTTTATAGGTACTTCTAGAACAGTTCACTTTTATCTTTTTAACGAGCCTTCAAATTGGCAACCTTTTAAAGATAAACATTGGCATGCAAATGTTTAATACTCAGCCAAAAATTGAAATGGTGGGTATTGCTATTTCAATGACTCTTTATCGACTGCAGCATAGTGGGGTACACAATCCTAACATGATTAAGTTCAGCAATCTCATTTGCACTCGAGCATTCATGTGGAAGCATTTGTGGGAGAAGAGGCCTTCTCATGGGATCAACTATTCATATCATTCAATTCATGTTGATTGTATCCAAATTACTAGTCATATCTGCTGTGTGCATGATTTCAGCGAGAGTTTTACTCGCTCTACCTCTGTTTTCTCCATCTCACCGAATTAAGCTAATTCGGTTGACTTTCCACACATGAATAGTTTAGGCATGGGGTGTGTGATAGATTTACCTCCACGTGGTGCACCCTGGGCAACGTATACTCATACGGCAAAAAATTCCATTACTTGGCAGTTGACTTCAAACTACCATGAGCCCACTGTATGTCATATTCGACTACTTTCACAGTACTCATCCCACCATTTTTCCACCTTATCTACCTTCGTCTTTGATACACTCTTCTTTCCCTCCCCCCCACTTGAATTTTTTACACTTTGATGTTCCTTCCCCTCTGTGAAGACTGAAGTCAACTAATGGGCTGATGATAACAATCAAAACGCCTGCCATTTGATATAATAATAATAATAGTTTAGGCATAGAGATTACTGAGTATAATTCAACGCCTATTGATGGGGTAATCCGATGCAGAATAAAATGATATACTAATCCTGATGAGATATGCTTGACAATTTGCACGTATACTTACTCACTTGAACTTCAAGGCTTTAAATTAGAACTCCACTTTGAAGAATATAAGTGAAGATTTAATTTCAAGAACTTACTTCTTTAATGGATTTAATGATTCCCTTTTAGGATTGAATTTGGCTACAATTTTCCTTTACGAAGTTTATGATTACCAGTATATTGAAGTGACAGATGGCATCTATGTGTACATGGTTTTCTTCACCGATGCCTGCCAATTCCCCCCACCAAAATCAGGTATTATTCAAGTCTTACCTTGATGACCATCTAACTTCTAATTTAATGCAGCTAATCTGGAATAACATAATCAGTAACTAATAATGGCTGCGGCAGTTGTATTTTCAAAATGAACAATCTTTTCACTTTAGGTGGTGTATTAATCCCTCACCTAATACCACTTTATCGGTATTTGAAAGGCGAAACATCGGTTGAACTGGAGTTTAAAATCTACGATGCAGCTAAAAGTAGAAGGGTATCAGTTAACGAATAATTGACTTTTTAATTATCTATTTTTAATTTTTCTTTGAGGTACTTTTTGCAAGTCACTACTCCAAATTTTTAATAGTTGATACATGTGGCATGAACATAGAACATGTGGATGAGAAAATGAATAATAACAATTTTAATTGACTAATAGTTGAATTTGGCTCCAATAGCTACATCTATACGAGAATTCGTCATTAATTTGTACTTGGAACGACGGTGTATCGACGAATGTGAAGCTTTGTCGTAAGGCATTGTGAATAAAGCTGACTGTCGCTTCATTCCCATTTCCTATCCAAACTTATCTTTCAGCTCATCTCACAACCGACAACACTACTCTCATATCAGATGTGACAATTAAACTGAACAAGGGAGTGAACAGTTTCGTGACTTACAAATGGGGTACAAATGTTAGTTCCGTTGCTATAACTCTGGACTGGATGAATTCAGGTAATAAAAATGACTAGCATTACAATTGGTTTTTAAAATATCTAATAAATTCAATTTATTCCCTTGAAGGCATTTCTCCTGAGGTCAATGAATGTCAAGGTAAGATTTCCTAAAATTCGATTGTGGTAATTTATTTGCATGTTTTTTAACTCTCTTATAAAAATAAACTTCACTTTTTATCCTTTCACATATCCATTGACAATCCTCTTACACATTTTCAACACAATAATTGACCTGATATCTTTCTTCAATCAACTTCTGTTCAAATAATATTGCATATGTACACATTTCCAAATGTGTGGACGTGTGAGTTGTTCATTATAAAAAATTGTGAATGACATTTAATTGGCTTTTCGTTACTCAAATAAATATTTTTAGTTGATTATCATTCCCTCTTTAAAGCTACTTACAATTATCAAACAAACGTGGTAAAATTGAGCAAAGCCAATGATTTTATGAATTGAAAGAACTCCCAAATCAATCACTCAAATTCTAATCGACAAACGGTAATAACAAGTGAATTTGAATTGTATTCGTTTGTGGTATAACTCTTAGCAATGTAATGACATAGAATGCCTTAATGGTGGGCAGCAACAAAACTTAATAATCACGAAATCTGAAAAAATCAAAGTGTAATTGACTTTTCTTTAATCAAATGGAGTCAGTGTTGTCTCCTCTTTTATATTCTTCTAATTCCATTGGTTGAAACGTAAGATAGGTCCACATGAAGTGCTGTACGTTGGATTTTGGGATAGTAGACACGAGACAGTTAGAGCGTTAAATGTGCCGAGTTACCCGGGTTCGTTTTCCCTTTAGTGAGACAAGCATGAAAATCAAAGTTTTGTCCGTTAAAATCTGACATAATTCAAAGCAAACATCTTGCAACAAAATCAAAAATGTTGTCTCCTCAATGACAAACAAAGTCAAGTTCAAAACTGCAAAATTTCCGAAATGTGTTGGTTGCAATCGTACGATTGAAAGTGAATCTTCCCTAAATTTCCAATTGGGCGAAGCGGTAAATGCCAACGACAACTGAAATTTGTTTTCAAGAGAGACATTAAGTGCGTCGAATCTTGTTGACATCGATTTCTCCCATTGAGTGCCACTGTTGAATCGATCTAAGCAAATCCACCAATTATGTGGCAATTAGTAGTCTTTAGCCAGATGGGGGTTGCAGCAATGGTTGTGTGAACCCGATTTCCCTAAGCAGATCAAGGTAATGAAAATGAAGATGAAGTCTTGAATAATCCCCACTTCAAACAACTGGTGCCCTGATTATTATTAAACTCTGGTTATTTTATACCAATCACTTAGACAACCCAACTCACATTTCTCTCTTAAAACATCACTGTGCTCACCTCTGTGGACCTACAATTACCAGGCGTTCGCATGTCTCTCATCAGGATGAGGCTCAGAGCCCCTTCAAACCCCTCTTGATTTATTTATTTATGAGATCAATGCCTCTATTAACTTAATTATCCCTAAAATTGTAGTTTAGATACAACAAGATAGACTTACTTCAAAGTGATACGAGAAAGCTGCACTCCAGGGGAGCATCACATGCCTTGTCTACAACCATTACAGTCACAAAATTTTCCATTTTATTGTTCCGAATTTGCATCTTCTATAACTGCTAAAATGTGTGGGCTAACGGACTGAAATTACACACCAGTAACTAAGCTCTTCATTTGACAAACGTTAAGGAACTTCTCATAACTAATGATCAACTTCTGGTATCACCTTTCATTTTCTTAGAAAAAATCTCACGATCACTCATTGAGGAATATAGCGTTATTTTTTTACGTTACAAATAGGCATTTTTTGTTTCAATCGTGTCTGAAGAATAAGATTTAACTGCCTATATAGTGGGGGCATTTTCACTGACATGAATGAGGTAAATGTAATTGCGGAAGATGCAGTTGAAGTATGGTCATTTCATAGGCAGAAAATATTACCACATCTGGAGTGTCAAATTTCACTACAGACTGAATCGGCTAATTACTGGCCTATGGAATGGATCTAACGATATCCTGCAAGTATCAGCTAACCCGTGTTATAAGATCTGCAGAGACGCAAAAGAACTTTCTAAATTGATTTAAGGAGATGAAAAACACATTAATTACCGCGCGAGGTATTCGAAACACCTCAACTAACTTCAAGCAATTGATCAAAAACAACAAAGGCTCATGATTGGACACTCAGTTACTTAACCGCGAATAGTAAGACTAAATATTAGTTACAAAAGGAAAGAGATAAAACAATGACTAAGTTGGAGTTAAAACGCTTAGTGATTTTGCTTAGAGTGCGAAGGATGAATGATATTGAAATCGAGAGACGTAGCCATCAGGTCAGCCGGATATTGAAAAATGAAGGAAATTACAGACACATGTAAGACGATTTCACAAAATATCAAGGTGGAATACGCAGAGAACTTGTATTCACATAAATTATTAGGTTGGCAACTAAGTCATTGCCGATTTCAAA